AAAATGGTGAAGTCACCTTCGCTTTCATACACATGGAGTTGTTACCATATGACCCAGAAGCTTAACTCCTCCGTATCTATCCATGAGAAATGAAAACATGTGTCCATGCAAAAACTTGCACAAAAATGTTCAAAGCCCCATTATTAATAACCAAAATTCAGAAACAATCCATCAACTGATGGATAAATAAAATGTGGTATAGTAATACAATGAGATATTATTCAGCAATAAAAAGAAAATAAATACTGACACATGCTTACTACATGGGTGCATCTTAAAATCATTATCCTAACTGAAATTAGCCAATTACAGAAGACCACATATTGTATGACTCCATTTATAGAAAATGCCCCGAATAGGCAGATGGACAGAAAGTAGATTATAGGCACACATCACATAATGTTTCAGTCAATGACACACCACATATACGATGGTGGTCCTATAAGATGATTATACCAAAGTTTCATTGTACATTTTGTATGTTTAGGTAAGTCTAGATACACAAATACTGTTGTGTTACAATTGCCTACAGTAGTTAGTACAGTAACATGCTGTGGCCTAAGAGCAACAGGCTATGCCAATTAGCCTAGGTGTGTGGCAGGCTATACCATCTCGGTTTGTCTAAATACACTCCATCATGTTCCCATAATGATGGAATCACATAACAATGTATTTCTCAGCACATATCCCTGTTGTTAAGCAATTAGGATTCCAGGAGCTAGTGTTGGCGGCATTGGGAAGAAATGGGGAATGACTGTTAATGGGTACAGAGTTTCTTTTTGGGTTAATGAAAATGTTTTAACAATTATTGTGATGGTTGCACCACTCTCTTTACACACTACACATCACTGAATTTTAAGCTTTAAGTGGGTAAGTTGTACGTCATGTGAATTATATCTCTATAAAGATGTTATAAAAATAAGGATTATTATAAATATATGAGGTTGATTAAATTGCGTGGCTTCTATTACCGATAGCCAACAACATTCTGTATTTACTATCATACTGTATCAAGTGATTTACGTATCTTAGCTCCCTTAATTCTTACAACATCCCTATTTGGTGAGCACAGCAAAATGTGTTAGGTACAGGATTTAAAATTTGGGTCTGTCTGATGCCAAAATTCACCCTTTTTCTTTCTTGTTTCTTTTAAAAAATTGTATTACTTTAAATAGTTAATATACTCATACATTTCATAAAACAAAGTGACACAAAAGGCACACACCCTCTCTCCATCCACCATCTTCCCTGTCCCACAGGTGCAGCTTGTATTAGCTTCTTGTACATCATTCAGCATTTCCTTAAAACAAAGCACATATGGATATACATTTTTATTTCCCCCTCTTTGGCAAATGTAGTATACTATACGCATTGTTCAAATATAGTACACATTGTTCTGCACCTCGCTTTTTTCACATCTCATAGCATCCCAGAGATCCTGCCATATTAGTATTCTTCATTCTCGTATTTATAGCTAAGAGTACACCAGTGCCTGGATGTACCACAATTTAATTTGCTATTCCCCTAAAGATGGACAGTTGTTTCCAAGAAACTATATTTTGAAATTGCCTCCAAAGGCAAGAAGAAAACTCCTAAGAAATGCAATCATTTTTAAAATAATCTCCTTTCCTCAAAAATGGACTACTTTGAAAGTGATAACTCTTCTTAAAATGTGTTGGTTAGTAAATATTTGTTAAATATCAATGCAATGGTCTAAATATTATGTCTCCTCAAAATTTATGTATTGAAATCCTAACCCCCAAGGTGATGCTATTGGATGGCGGGCCCTTGCGTGGTGATCAGGTCATGGGGGTGCAGCCCTCACGTATGGGATTGGTGTTCTTGTAAAAGCGGCCCCACAGAGATCCTGCCCCATATGACGTTACAATGATTAGAAGGCCAACTGTGAGGAAGTGGGCCCTCATCAGACACTGAATCTGCTGGTGCCCTGATCTTGGACTTCTCAGCCTTCAGAATTGTGAGAGAGAAATTTTTGTTGTTTATAAGCTACCTAGGTTATGGTATTTTGTTACCGCAGCCTGAACATGTTAGATAATCATCAGCAACAAAAAATTAAATGCATTACACCAGAGTGACAGCCCCACGTGAGCCATGGAAGGATATTCCATCTCTATGGATAAGAATTGTGATTCACCCTCTTGAAGAGGGAAGCCCAAGGATTTCCAAAAACATTCCAAAGTCTTTCTTTGTACTTATTCAGCATATTGTTTCTGCTGAATAATATTTACAGAGATGAAGAATCAAATATTCATTACTGAATTATCTATTACCTCTATGGTGAGTTTCTATGAGATATATATTTTAAACTTATCAGTTCACCTGAGTGGAATGAAATTCTAATATTTTTATTATAGCAAACCTAGACCCAAAATATTTTACACTTAACCGACTGTCTTTAGAACTTCTATTATCAGTCATAAGACATAAAAACAACTTGTCAATTTTGTTTCCTGTTTTTTTTTTTTCTTAAAGAAACTAATGCTTCAATAAGGCTATGTATTTTCTGAAGGATGCCTGACATAACATGAGTTTGAATATTAACATGTGAAGAACTGACTCATGTCTGAAATCCCAGCACTTTGGGAGGCCGAGGTGGGCGGATCACTTGAGTCCAGGAGTTTGAGACCAACTCGGCCAACATGGCAAAACCTCATCTCTACTGAAAATACGAAAAATTAGCCTGGTGTGGTGGTGCATGCCTGTAATCCCAGCTACTTGGGAAGCTGAGTCATGAGAATCACTTCAACCTGGGAGGCGGAGGTTAAAGTGAGTCAAGATTGTGCCACTGCACTCCAGCCTGGGCAACAGAGTGAGACTCTGTCTTGAAAAAACCAAAACCAAAAAGAAAACATGTGAAGAACAAGCAATAAAAAAGGTAATGTCAGCACAGACAAAATATCCAAGAGGTAGAGAACAATGCGGTCTTCCAAAGGGAACTGAATGAAAGAATTTAAAATGTACAGCTTTTCAAAGCTAAAGAAAGTGACAACAACTGAATTGAAAGGGCTGAACTGGGCATTAACTTCCCAGAACACATATGTATACTTAGTTTAATAAACCTGAGTACTATCTTAGGAAAAATCTTATATATTATGCATCTAGGGCAATGAGAGCTATAGAAAATGATTCTCCAAAGCAAATACACTACAAGCTGACACTAGAAGAGGAAAAGAGTCAAAGGCACACACAAAACATCACACGTGAGTTTAGGTCTCATTCTATAGATCATCACCACAGGGGGGAAAAAAAGTGAGCTGTGAAAACCATAGAGACTAAACAGAAGCTGGGCAGCTATGCTTGTGGTTGAAGCTTAAAAAAATGCATGTTTGTATTTTCTCATTGTAATTGTAATATGAATTTGCAGAAGATTTGGAAAATATAGAAAAAATAAGAATTTAAATCACCCACTTATCCCACAATCCAGAGATCCCTTATTAAATGGTTGGCATATTTACTTGCAGTCCTTTTTTTCTGTAGATATAAGAATATATGGTTTTTACAAAATTGGGCTTATATTATGCATTCGATTTTACACATGACCTTTTCCCCCACCTTGTATGACTTCAGTAATTTCCCATGTTGTCGTGTATTCTTTAAAGATGTAATTTTCATAACTGGGCATTATACTGAATCTTATGAATTTAAGCAGAACTACATGATTATTTTCATATTGCTGGACCTCTACATCTCTTGTAAATTTTCCGTTTTCCAAATAGCACTGTGATAAACTTTCTTATCATAATCTTCATATTTCTATCTACTTCTTAAAAGAAACTTAAAAGCATATCAGTACTTCACATTCAAATTTAAATCACTTAGTATACCAGTAAATTCACCATTGGAAGTCTCTGGGGACAAAATGCAAATAATGCATATGAAACAAACAACACTATTTTATGCTCACTTGAAGTCTATATTTATCCTTCTAGAATAGTCATCTTTCAGGGAGCACATTATTTCCTCTAGGCAAATGGACTATTACTAGGTTAATCTAAATGCAATAACATGAAACTTGGCTGACCCAGATTTCTCCAATATCAGTACGCATGCAATTACAATATTCTGCAGAATGACAAATACTCAAGGCTCTCAAAAACACATATTTTATCATCCTTTCATTGAAAATGGTGTACAATCGACACTAAAATAAAACAAATAAAGTTTATAGCCAATGAAGGTTGATAGTATCCAAATCTTATGTAGACATATAAGTTACATATAGTGTAACTTATGGCTTTCTTAGAATTCTAGTTTTATTTTGTCACTTCCACAGTTATTGAGATCTTAAGTGCTCTCATCATATTGAAGTTATTTATAATTCCTGTTAAGAATTATATACGCTTAACAGTCTGGTCCTAGATTCACTATAGTCTATTTTAAAAATTATTCTTTCAAGAAGCTAAATGGGGTTCTTACAATCTCTAAAGTGTGTGTGTATAATACATTCACATATAGTTATACATATCTAAAATGTTTTTCTCCCAGTAACCAGTGAAAAGCAAAATAAAAATACAACAAAAACTCCACTTATATCACTGGTCATCATAACTATAGAATCACTCGAATTCTAAAGCACCCTCACAACTGGCGCAGGTGAAGATAGCTAGAGCTGGACTGTACAGTTGTGCAGGCTGCATACTATACAACTCTAGTGAGTGCAATCATACCCCGATTGATGTGACTGGTATTCTTTGGGGTTGTGCAGTATACAATCCATACAACTCTATGTGACGACCTTGAAGTTAGCTCAGGTAATTCTGTTTGCTCATCCATTACTTATCTGTGCATCCTTTTCTCTAGTGAGCTATGAAAAATGTTTTCAAAGGGAAGTAATCTTTAAATCTATGTACTATTTTCTAGGAAGGAAATTCTGTGAAGAAATAGTAAAAAATTCTCCCCGGCTTCCATCTGTCCTAATAGTAAGGTTTTCTTTCTTCCCATCTCCCCTTCCATCAACCCATCAGGAAGCAACAGGGTACCTTGTGTGAGTAACTGTAGATTTCTGACTTCTTCTCGCACCTTCAGCTGGAGCACCTGTTGTAAGATGTGCTGCCGGAGGTTCTCCTGGGCAATCCCCATTCGCTCAAGCTTTTTGTCAGTAAGTCTCAGCAGGGCTCGCCCTGCAGGGTTTTAAGAAATAAAAGGAAAAGCAAATGAACTACTTGCTGAAGAAAGATGTCCATTTTGGTCTTGACTAACCCTGCCATCACAGAAGTTTCTACCTAAACACAGACTTTTAGAATAAAGGTCCTCCATTATTATTGCTGACACAAATGGATTATCTGGGTGAAAAAATACATACATATTTAAAAGAGAACCCTAACTTTTAATTGAACATTGGGAAACCCCACTGACTCACACATTCAGTTAGAATGTGTGACTCATACACTCAGTTAGATAAAATAGGAAAACCTTAACCTGGATATTTGGGTCACAAATTGCAGGTTTCCATAGAAACAATGCTCTTCATCGCGGGATGGATTCTCAGGCTGGCCCACAGGAGCCCAAGTCACTGACAACTCACTTACAACCCAGCTGAAGAATCGGATGCTCTAACAGTGGTACATATATTAACTCTAGCAATGTGCAACACAGGGTATAATAACATTTCTGTGAAGCATGCATTTAAAAGTCCAGTTTTAATCTGCAGGCAATTGACACTCCTGCTGTAACCCTGATGGGCTGGAGGTTCCATCTCTAGCTGGTGGGAGCTATGCCTTAATCCCAATTACTGGCCTAATGCAAGGGTTCTAGCAGGGCTGAGAGGGAGAAGAGCAGGGTAAAACAGTATCCAAAGAGTTGAAAAACAAGGCACCTCGAGGTGTGAATGCCTACAATGGGCAGACACCCTGGGCTACGGTCAGCTGGCATGGCCTCTCTTCAATCTTTCTTTCCCTGTATGCTTCTCTTCCTACTGTGATTTCCATCAAATTCTCCTCCACTCTGTGCTTGCCCTAAAATAAGTGTATTTCCATGTTGAGGGTTTACTACAAGAAATAAAGAGTGATCATTGCTAAATGCCCATAGCACTACCTCTACTCTTCTCCAACATTCCTACTCATCACATCTGCAGATCTTTTCTCATTTCCACAGATGAAGAAGAGATAGAGTCAACTACATGTGATGAATGATGTCTTCAGGTATATTACCATATACATTTCACGAGGAGACAGGTGAATGGAGAAAACCAGTTAGCAGCAGTTTGTGTTGTTTATGCTTCTGGTTTCCTTCCTTTTAGCCTTTGCTAAGTGCATCAGTCAGGATAAGTTAGTTTATATGCTATTGTAAAAACAATTCCAACATATCAGTGGCTACAACAAACTTTACTTCCAGTTTATTCTGCATGCCAAACTACAAGTCTACCTATCTTGAACACTGCTGATCAATGTAACAAGAGGGAGGAGAGAAGGTTCTAGAAGATCTTCATGCTATCAATGAAATGCTCAGCTTAGAGTCATTTATATATCATTGGCCAGAACTAGTTGCATGAACATTTCCACCCACAAAAGGGCCACTAGTTGTACTCCCAACATGTGCCCAGAAGTGAGATGCTTAATAAGCAGCACTAGTGAGAATTATGCTAATATAGATGTGGCCCTGGACAAAAGGCTAGACAGAAAGTGAGTTCTTCGACGTGTGCATGTTTGCAGTGGTTGGGGGTGGAGGTCTGAAGCTTCAGTGGAACCTGCATTTGTGAGAGGAATCCTACATAACTACAGCTCAGGCTTGGCAACACCAGGCAGATGGTGGTGGTCATAAGAAAAGGAAGGAAAGGACAAAATTGGACTCCAGTAATTTCCATTGCATTCTGTGGCTGGTGGATTAATGGGCCCCTAAAGATGTCCTTGTTCTTATCTCTGGAACCTGTTAATTTCTTACCTTACATGACAAAAGGGACTTTGCAAATGTGATTAAGGTAAGGAGGATCTTGAGATGGGAGAGTACCTTCATTATCCAGGTGAGTCCAATCTAATCACAAGGGTCCTTAGAAGTGAAAGAGGGAGATGGGAGAGCCAGAGAAAGATGTGACAATGGAAGCAGAGGTCAAAGTGAAGTGGCCAAGAGCCAAGGAATTCAGGCAGCCTCTAAAAGCTGGAAAAGGCAAGGAAATGAGTTATCTTCCACACCCTCTAGAAAACAGCTCCACTAACATGCTGAGTTTAGCCTTATGAGACCCATTTTTGGACTTCTGACCCACGTCAGTGTAAGACAATAAATTTGTGTTGTTTAAAGCCATGGGAGTTTGTGATAATCTGTTATAGCAGCAGTTGGCCTTGTGACTGGAATTTACATGTTTTTAAGAAGTCAAACAGATGGCTTTAGATTTCCTTTCCTTTCCCCATTTCTGGTTGCTGGCACACACAGAGGTAAAAAGCAGAGGAGTGCTAAGGAGAGGTGAGCCTGAGTGCTGGGCTTCCAGGACAGCCCTGCAGTCCAATGCTCTGCTCACTGTCAGACCTTAGTCCAGAAGTTTCCTCAGAAAACAAAGAATAGGGCTTAAATATCATTTATATGGATAATTGGCCTCCAAATAACAGACATCTACATCTTTATACATGTCATAAACTTACAAATACTGCATAAAACACTCCCTGAAGCTCTGATGATCTTAATCCTTCCCAACATAAAAATGTAGATCACCCTCCCTCCTTTCTGTTCCCAATTATTTGGGCTGTGGTTTCGCAAGCTGTGGCATTTCCTAGCAAGAGCTGCCTAGGCGCTGATAAGACACGCGGCTGCTTTTGTCTTAAGCTGGCTGGGCCATCGTTAGAACACAGTGTTAAGGCATCAGAAGCAGGGTTTTATTCCAGCACACACAGTTCAACTTTCCTTTGTTTGATGCCTTCCTATAAACCTGTAGTCCCAGCCTTTTCATAAATGCATCTGATTGGTCAAAGTATAGATACATAGCCCTACTAGAATGTTATTTCTACTTTGGTGGGTTAATTGCACTGGGTTTAAATATATGAGTCAGAAAATTCTGTCAGTTATAAAAGTCTGTTCATTTTCTGACTGTGTGATACAAACAATCATGCTTATGAACATTTCACATATTAAATGTCCAACTGTTCAAATTATTTAATCCAAATCCTGAGAATTATTTCTACTCTGTTGGAAGAGAAATTGAGAAGTTAAAGAATATTTAAAACATGAGCGCTCGTCCTAATTTTTCCCACTCTACATTCAGTCGTGCTTTATCTTCCTTGATAGGAAAATGAAAGGGTTAGTTTTCAAGAAAGATTAAGGATAAAATTTCTTCTAAAATTTCCTGATAGAATCACTTCTAGAGAAGAGCATGATCTGTACACCAAAAATCTTATTAACAAAATCTGATTCATGGTCTTCTTTGGATGGTTTCTATGGATTGATGGTTCTGGAAAATTTCTGTAATAATTAAATTATTTCTAGGAGTAAATATCCCATCAATCTCCTAGTCCACCACCTCCTGATGAATACAAAATAAACAAATGTCCAAATAAGTGGGGTACTGTTTTGATGAGGTATCAAGAAAGTGGTAAGTAAGCAATCATCAAATTATTTTATCATTTATGTTAATTTTTGTTGTTTATCATAAAATTCAATTGTTAGTTCAACAAACACTTATTGAGCACTCACTATGCCTCTGTTACTTTGTCACTCCCCCTGGATACAGCGATGAACACAGCAGACAGAGTCATTTTTGAAGCCTTCAGGCTGACAGGGAAGGTAACTCATGGTAAATGTCTATGAGTATGTGATGAATGCTAAGAAATGCTAGGCCTTAAGGAGGAAGCAAGAGTTAGACAAAACCTACTTATAGAGCAAATATTTTTTTAAAGTTGCCACATGAATGAAGAGCGGGGCTGCCATTGTAGACAGACAACACAGGAGCACCGTCCCAACTTGAACATTCCCTGCCTCTGCTCACAGGAGTCTCTTGGTCACCTTGCTCTGCAGTCCTCTGACAATACAGAGAAGGGCCAAGGAGTGAAAAATCAACTCAATCTCAAACAAGAAGCACCAGCTGAATTGCCTGATACAATCAAACTTGTTATAACAGTAATTAGGTGACTTGGGCTGGTGGGCCCTTTACCAACTCACAGACCCTTGGGGTTAGAAGAAGCTTAAAGTTTTTCACTTGCTCTTACTCCCCGCTTTTTACTCTTTTCCTTTAACAAGTATGCATTGATCACCATTATGTGCCTGCCACTATTCGGGGTGCTGTGGATATGGAGATGAGTAGTGTCTTCTGCCTGCATGGAGCTCACCATTTAGTGTAGGAGGAAGGTGACATAAAAATAAACCGACAACTAGATTTAGATCTAGAGACAGATGTATGATCCCAGATAGTCATAAGTGCTCTGAAGAGAAAGCAGAATGAAGGGGCAGACAGGGACCCCTATTAAAAATATGGTGCTATTGTAGTTGGGGTGGTTAGGATAGGAAAGGCCTCTCTGAAGGGGTGAGGCTGGAACCAGAAAGGAGAATGAGGGAATAGAAGTGTCAACACAAGTAGAGGAATGACAGGGAGACTAGTGTCACTAGGGCAGAGCAGGTGAGATAAGAGAATGGTCAGAAATGAGGTCTCAGAGAATACAGGGTCAGATCAAACAGGGCCTCGGAAGCCCTGGAGAGGACTCTGGATTTTATTCTTCTGAATATGAAAAGTTCTGAGCAAGGGTAACTTGGGCATGATATCAGGTATTAAAAAGAATCCCTCTGGTCACTATGCGGAGAATGGATTCGGGGCAGAGGCATGTGTAGGAGCAAGGAGGAGTCTGTGGACTACCAAAGTGATCTGAACAGGAGGTCACAATGTCTTTGTACTGGGGTGGTGGGGAAGAAGTAATAAGAAATAGTAAAATTCTGGATATATTTTTAATAGCTTTACAATGCCCAGAAGTGGGGTCTGAGGGGAAGACAGACATCAGAGATGACTCACATTTTCAACCTGAGCCACCAATGTCTGGGGGCACCATTTCCGAGCAAGAAATTGAGTCACTGCTCAAGAGAGGATGCATTGGAAGGAGGAAATCCTGGCAGTATTACTGCTATTTTTTCTTTAGAGAGCACTTGGGGTATGGAGAAGAATAAACATGACAGTATTAAACAAAGAAAAACAATCAAAATATTCTTCTTT